GTTGACGTTTCAAAAGAACCAAATTATGGTTTAATTGAAATAAATGCTTTGACTTTGACTTTAAAGTATTCTCAATTTTAGTCTCAGAATTTTTAATTAATTGTGGACTCACCTAAAGTAACTTCAAGTTTATTACTGGTTAAAAATAATATCCCTTGTATTGAAGACAACAAATAAATTGCTGAGCCAATGGACATAACATAACATAACATCACGCCTTTTATCCCCGAAGGGGTAGGCAGAGGCGTACATTATGCCACTGTACAATGTAACACCCACTTTTCACTATTTATGTTGTGAGTCCCATGTAATAGGGGGTGAGCCTATTGCCATATACCGGGCACATTTCCAGACTCCGTGCTATTACTGGGATTTTTTTGAAAAACCCAGTAATACTGTGCCCGACCCGGGAATCGAACCCGAGACCCCTCGCCCGACAGTCGCACTTGCGACCACTCGGACAATGAGGCAGTCTGGCTGAGCCAATGGAATAAGTGCAAATTGTCATACAACACTGACTCTGTAATTTACTAAAAATGAATTTATAAAATACTAGTAACTTAACAAATAACTGTCCCTGAATTCCACAGATTCCCCTCAAATCATACTCTCTCTACTCCAAGACAGGACCAAAGGTGGAATATTTGCGGACCAAGTTCCTGACCGTTGTTGACTCAAACGATTTGTGCCCCACCATTGCCCCTACACGTTGGCACGAGTTATTAACACTATCTAATTGGTGTGTGCTTCTAGTTGAGGGAACTGCGGTTGCCTGTAATACAGTTATGGAGGTGGAACTGCTAGGCAAGCCGCAGAGTTGCCGATAGTACTTGGTTTGAAAAAATGTTGCGATGAATTGAGCAGGTAATATTGTTATATATTGTAAATATTATCGCGTAATTATTTGACGAGGAACTCGACAAATGTCGTGCTGCTATTTCGTCGCCGCGTCGCGGGTTGCGAAATGCCACTCATAAATATGAACCACTAGCATGGCTTGAAACTAGTCGAGTTCCTTGTCAAATAATTATGTAAGTATGCCGAGAAAAAAACATTATTATTTTGATATGTCTTTGGTCTCACAAGATAAATTTCTTCCAGGGCAAGGTTTTCATACATGAATTCAAAAATGGTAAGTGATCATCGACTTATTTAGATTTGGCATGACTTCCAAAATTGGTTTCTAGGAAATGTACGAGTGCTGTTGTTATATACTTACAAAAATAAAGATCATAATATGATTTCATAGGGCCTCCCTAAATCATAAACAATGTGGCTTTGATAATTATTAACTCGTCGAGTACCGGTTTTGTAGACACAATTATAGAACAATAGGTTGCGGTCACCGGTGACCGCTTGGTATTTGACAGTTTAATTATATGATTTTTACACTAGCGAAGTATTGGCCTCAAACTGATAACCGAATAATTGTTTCCCTGACCCAGGAATCAAGTCAAAGGCTCTTTCACACTATCGTACTTATAAACACTCGAATCGAGCCATCAAAAATATTAATCAAATAAAAAGCTTTTATTTATATATGGTAGAGGATCGCGCTTCTATCAAAATCATTAAACTGAACGCGAGGACAGCCGCGCTCGTATTTCGATGGGTACGCCCAAATTTCCATCAAATATATCACCTGGTACAAGTTATAAACGGACGATCTTTATTACAGTTATAGTTTTGACTGCCTCGTTGGCCGAGTGGTCGTAAGTACGACTGCCGGGCAAAGGGTCTTTCCATTCCCAAGTCGGGCAAAGTACTACTACTTATTAAATAAAAAATTTTCAGTAGTAGCACGGAGTATGGAATCGTGCCCTGTATATGGCAATAGCACATATTAAATATTTATTGAAGAAAGTAGCTAAGATTTTTAATGTTATTCGGAAATTACTTATTATTCTAGCTTCAACATTAACAGCTACTGGAATAGATTCTTACCACATCAGTGGGAAGAGCAGAGATGATAACAAATAAAAATATTACATAACATAACATCACGCCTTTTATCCCCGAAGGGGTAGGCAGAGGTGCACACAGAAGTACTTAACACCCACTTTTATATAAATAAAAATATTCTTCAGTAGAATTTCTACATTGCTGTCATCTTTCTAGATCTTTTAAAGAAATACAGTGTCCATACAACAACTGAAACATACAACTTATGTTCAAATTACTTACGTTGTTATTAAATGATGAATTTCATCACGCAGACCCGCTACCGCTTGTCAAATGTAGTGGTCATCGCATGCGAGACGCGCCCTATCCTATACACGATATGCAAATATGGAACATAAAGGTAATATTTCGTGATAAGGTTGTATGGTAATTAATAAAATATGTCTCCTCAACAGGGCGAGGATTGTGGCCAAACGTAATAGATTTGATTGTTTCGCCGTACCATTAATTACACTGATTGTTGTTTTGACCTTAATTATTTATTGTGTTTTTGATACTTTTGTGTTTTTTTTAAGTGGGAAAATCATCGAATGACGGCTCCCGCCTTAGTGTCAGACTCTTACTGACTAAAAACCACCCCGTTCCTTCTCTTCCACGTCGAGCCGGAGCCCCGGTTACCCGTTAGGTTCTCCGCGACACTTTTTTGGTGTGTAGAGAAAGTATAACGCAGGATCTAATAAGATGGACAGGTGAGCTGCTAGGAGTCACAGAGAGTGCTGCAACGGATTGATCTAGAAGCCATTGGTAATGACTGTGTTAGACAGTGGACATCTTTTGACCAATACCATGATGATTATGTAAACGTAAAGACCCTTAACAGCAGATATATATTTCTGATATCTGTGGATTATGTGATCCATTTTTAACATTACTTGTATTTCTAATGCAATAGCTTCTGCTCACGACTTCTTACGCGCAATTACGTTTTTCTGATCCCTTGTGTAATTTTCGGTAAAAAATTATAAAAATCGAATTGGACAAAAAAATTTTCTTTGACCATTTTCATCCAACTAACAGTTCTTGAGTTAATATAACACCAAACATTACATCACGCCTTTCATCCCTGAAGGGGTAGGCAGAAGTGCGCATTATGCTACTGTACAATGTAACACCAACTTTCCACTATTTATGTTATGAGTCGCACATAATAGTTGGTGAGCCTATTGCCATATTGGGCAATTCCAAACTCCGGCTACTACTGAGATTTTTTTAAAACCCAGTAATACTTTGCCCTACCCGGGAATCGAACCCGAGATCCCTTGCCCAGCAGACGCACTTGCGACCACTCGACCACCGAGGTAGTATAAAGTAACAAGGCAACGAGTTAATATAAATAATGTAACTAACATTACTTTTGTTATGCAAACGACTAGGCTGATCTCCAATCTCTGTCATAAACAGAGATTAATCAAACAAATGGCATTGAGTTCGTCGAACAAAACTAATAACTCCAATACCATACTATCGACCCGAGCGTACGGCGCGTCGCGTTCCGCGCGCGCCTCTAAGAGCCATCAGACCACCACAGATGGGGCCTAATACGGCCGATGCCGATTCGGAGTCGCGGAGAACCTAACGGATAACCGGGGCTCCGGCTCGACGTGCAGAAGAAGGAACGGGGTGGTTTTTAGTCAGTAAGAGTCTGACACTCCCTTCCGCCTCACCCAGGCGGGAGCAGTCATTCGATGATTTTCCCCCATAAAAAAAAATACCCTACTATCGAATCTGCTGATTCTTATAAGTACAAAACTTTACAATATTAAAAACAAATTTCTTTAAAAAAATTACACTATATGGTTTTTACAACCAGTACACGTTATCAAACCCATTAAATATCCATAATCAAAAAAAGATTTATAATTAAAAACGTGTAGGCGGTCAATTAGCATTAAAATACCTGACATACACGCTCATACATAAATATAACAAACTAGTAATATTTGTAACTGTTATATTGCATGCGTACTGGCTATTAGAGGACATAGGAGACATGTTATGTTTGATTTAATTTTAATATCGAAACTGAGTACCTATTGCTGTATTTTTGTCACACATGTTTTTCAAATATCTTCCTTTGTTTGAGGCACATTGGTATCAGAACCTATGACTCATTCTCACACATATTTGGAACTGATGAATAAATAAAGCAATTCAAATGACTATGCACCTTATTCGTCCTTGCTACTACTAAATATTCATTAATAAACGTGAGTTTTATTTTCGCCTGCTGCTCTGCCGCCAACTGCCTCGTTGGCCGAGTGGTCGCAAGTGCAACTGCCGGGCAAGGGGTCTCGGGTTCGATTCCCGGATCGGGCAAAGTATTACTGGGATTTTTCAAACCTCAGTGGTAGCACGGAGTCTGGAATTGTGCCCGATATATGGCAATAGTCTCACCCCCTATTACATGGGACTCATAAATAGTGAAAAGTGGGTGTTACATTGTATAGTGGCTCTAAGTGCCGTAATGTGCACCTCTGCCTACCCCTTCGAGGATAAAAAGGCGTGATGTTATGATGATGTTATGAGTTTTATTTTCGAACAAAATCTTGCATTATCGTCATCCTTCAAGTGCCCACTGCTGACCAAAAGCCTCTTCTCGCACGGAGAAGGTTTGAGCATTAATCACCACGCTTACTTAATGCGGGTTGGTTACTCAAACTTATAATTACCTCTAGAAAATATTTCCCAGGTTTCCAAGCAATGATTTCCTACATCATTTTTTAGTGGTATCTGTATAATTTTGGAAAGTACATATAATATCGGAAAAAGTCACATTGGTACTTGCTGTTTAGATTTCGAACCAGTACTCTCATGCATGAGAAGCGGGCGTCTTAATCTTGCATCATGTATAAAGAAAAAAAAATGCAAATAATGTTAAAACGCTAAGTCACATACGCGTCATGATGTAGATACTAGATTACTATGCTAATTGTGTTAGTGTCGTCACGCTGGAACACATCTTCAATTTGTTTCTATAGATAAAACGACACTATTTAACCGGTCTCGTTTAGTGTGCCTGCCAATCCCGCACAGTGAAGACGTATACGGTCCAGTTTGCTCTCGACTCAACCAACATGTTCGCAAATAAAGTGGTACTAGTGACGGGCGGTAGCTCCGGTATCGGCGCAGCTACCGTGGAAGCATTCGCTAAGGAAGGCGCTTCTGTAGCCTTCGTGGGAAGAAACCAAGCCAAGCTTAAGGATGTAGAGAGCCGTTGCCAGCAGTACGGAGCCAACGTCCTGGCTATCAGAGCAGATGTCTCCAAAGACGAAGAAGCGAAAACCGTAGTACAACAAACTGTCGACAAGTTCGGGAAACTTGATGTACTTGTTAACAACGCTGGGATTCTTCGGTTCGCGAGTGTTCTGGAGCCGACTTTAATACAAACTTATGATGAAACTATGAACACGAATTTACGTCCAGTTGTCCTCATCACTAGCCTGGCTATCCCTCATTTGGTTGCAACAAAAGGGAGCATAGTTAACGTGTCCAGTATACTGTCTACAATAGTAAGAATACCAGGGATTATGCCATACAGTATGTCAAAGGCTGCTATGGATCACTTCACAAAATTCGCAGCGTTGGAGCTGGCTCCTTCTGGAGTGCGAGTGAACTCAGTCAACCCTGGACCAGTTCTAACTGACATCGCATCTGGTTCTGGCTTTTCTCCTGATCTGCTTGAAGATACAGGGGCTCATACACCGTTGGGGAAAGCTGCGCAGTCTGAAGAGATTGCTAATATGATTGTGTATCTCGCTAGTGATAAAGCTAAGAGTGTTACTGGGTCCTGTTATATCATGGACAATGGACTGGCGCTGCAGTAATATGCTTTGAAAGTTAATAAAAATATTTTAAGGACATTGATTATTATGTTTGCGACAGTCGCGTGTTACGGAATGATGTTCACGAATATGAGCCTCTTGACTTACGAGCATGGCTTGAAACTAGTCGAGTTCCTCGTCAAACAGTTATGTTAGTAAGTAGTAAACATAATAATTGATATAGTATGTCTCGCGAAAGTTATAATATAAAAAATTTGAGGACACTTTATCCTGACATTATAGACGATGTCATATTATAAACCTATTTGATTAATATAATAAAGTCTTTAGTCTATGTTAATTAAGATTCAGTGATTAAACAATTATACTTAAACCATAATTCACCTTTTTTTATTTAGTTACTAATCCCGGAACTGTCAGTTTTCTAAATGATTGTATTCAATGTGTCTGTTTAGAAAAACAGCGTAAACAAAAACTTCTATTGAACGGCGGAGTCAATAAGTAATTTAAATTGATTGATGATTATTATGTAAACATCAAAACCTGTTTCCCAGTTTAATTTTTATTCAAAGTCTTTTTGTTTATTATGAAGTTCACACCTACCTACAAATCAAGTGAGAATTCTTCTTAATTAGTAAATTATGTCCACGTAACCGCACGTCATACGCAAGGAGGGAAAAGCAGCCATTCGATGATTTTCCCCCCTTAAAAAAAAATACGCAGGATTTTGTCAGTTGACGAATGCTTTTTTTTTTTTTTTTTATGGAATATATAAGCCGGTAAACGAGCAGACGGATCACCTGATGGTAAGCAATCGGCGTCGCCCATGGACACCTAGAACACCAGAGGCGTTACAAGTGCGTCACCGGCTTTTTGGGGATTAGGAGTTTGAGGATCGTTGGGGATTCAGGGATTGGGGAGATTGGGGAAGGGGAAGGTAATTGGGCCTCCGGTAACCTCACTCACACGACGAAACACAACGCAAGCGTTGCTTCACGTCGGTTTTCTGTGAGGCCGTGGTATCACTCCGGTCGAGCCGGCCCATTCGTGCCGAAGCATGGCTCTCCCACACTTATGCTTGCCTCTTTTTTTATGGGCTACGCCGGTAAACGAGCAAACAGATCACCTAATGGTAAGCAATCGGCGCCGCCCATAGGCACCTGGAACACCAGAGGCGTTACAAGTGCGTTATCAGCTTTTTGGGAAATTGAGAATTTGAGGATTGTGGAGGATCCAGGTATTGGCGAGACTGGGGAAAAGGGTAATCGGGCCTCCGGTTACTTCTCTAGTGGCGTAGTTAATGTTAATGTTATCAAACATAACTAAATTAAATCAATACTAAGATTAATCTAAGTTGTACCTACTACTGCTAATCTACTACTAACACATAGGAATGTTTATACAAAATAAATTATTGAAATTGAATTGAATTATAGTGCTCCGAGTTTGTTCCGGCATTTATTCTCAGAGTAACTAGTTAGGAATTGCTACATCTAGAATTCTTTTTAATTGTTGACTTGATGAGTATAAATTCTGTTTTAAATCCTAATAATAAATTCATTCCTTTTTTATTATAAGAAAACAAAAAATACAACCTTAGGCAAGCTTATAATTTTACTGCATAATAAGTAATTTTTATTGCTTACGAACATTTTTTAATTTTTATTATGTTTATAATTTGTACACAGAGATTAACTGCAATTCTACTAGTGAGGTTTTATTTACAGAAAAATTACATTTTAGTACCTAGATTGATAACAATTGAGATTTGTTTTTCAGTTTCAACATCAACAGCCTATAAGTGCCCACTCCTGAGCCTCTTCTCACAAGGAGAAGGTGGCATTAACTCGTCGAGTACCGGTTTTGTAGACACAATTATAGAACAATAGGTTACGGTCACCGGTGACCGCTTGGTGTTTGACAGTTTAATCACTACGCTTGCTTATTACGGGTTGGCGATTCCAAACTTGTAAATAGAAATTATAAGCCCAGGTTACCTGACAATGTTTTCCTTCATCGTTGGTCAGTGATGTCTAAATAATCTTAGAAAGTATATATATCTCGGAATAAGTCACATTGGTACTTGCCGTTGGTAGGTTTCGAACCCGCGCCCTTATACAAATGCAGTAGTCTTAACCCCTAGGCCACCACGACAGTTTTCAGTTTTTAACTTTACTAGATTTAACTCGTTGAGTACCGTCATTATAGACACAATTATAGAACAATAGGTTGCGGTCACCGGTTACCGCTTGGTGTTTCACAGTTTAAAGTACAATAGATTGCGGTCACCGGTGTCCTTGCGGTGTTTAAAAGTTTAATTAGCTCACTAAAGTAAACATAATAATTGTCTTGACTGACATGACATAATTATTTTATTATTATATCGTCATATACTTTTGATAAACATTTTATACTTGGTAACTTTCTTATTATAAGGTGATGCTGTTGTTAAATACCTATTGAAAGAGCAGCTTGACGCACACCTTCATATATATATATATAATGTAAGCACACACATTTCATCAGTTTAAGTTAAATTCCACGTGTTTTAGACTCCAGATTACAAGTTGTTACCTGTTTTTCATGGAATAGGCGGGTAAACGAGCAGACGGATCACCTGATGTTAAGCAATCGGCGTCGCCCATGAACACCTGGAACACCAGAGGCGTTACAAGTGCGTTACCGGCCATTTGGCGATTAGGAATTTGACGATTGTTGGGGATTTAGGGATTACGGAGATTGGGGAAGGGCGGGAGGGAGGTAATTGGGCCTCCGATAACCTTAGTCACACGACAAAACACCACACAAGCATTGTTTCACGTCAAATACCTCCAGCTTGTGCGGTAATTCGTGTGCATGTTTGTTCAATCACTTTAAAATGCTGGCTTTTGCCCGCTAGTATTAGGTACATAAGATTTATAACACAAACTGAGTACCGGCAATTAAGTGTTGCATATAATATTATACTAAGAACTAAAAGCAATCTTAGTTACGTATGTCAATCATGTTGACATTGACAATTGACATAACAGCACATTGTTTAAAACATGTCACGTGCTAACCATAACCAAAAACAAAATGTAGGCATCAAATTCAATTATAGTTTATTTCGTAATGAATAATTCAAAACTGGATTTAAGTTCCGCGTTCTTTAGTATTGAATTTTAAATTATCTCTTTATATGTAGTAATTGCAAATGTGCCTATCAATCACAAGGTCATCAAATTAAACTAGCTTTTGTTATTTGTGTGCTGTTTGTGTGCTGTCAAAGATTATCTTGAGGGGAATCCTTATGATCAATAATTCATCATCATCATCATCAACAGCTTATAAATGCCCACTGCTGAGCAAAGCCTTTTCTCACACGGAGAAGGTTAGAGTATTAATCACCACGCTAACTCAATGCGGGTTGGCGATTTCAAACTATAATTAGAAATTTTAAGCCCAAGTTTCCTCACGATGTTTTCCTTCACCGTTAGTCAGTGGTATCTAAATAATCTTAGAAAGTACATATAACTCGGAAAAAGTCACATTGGTACTTGCCGTTGGTTAGTTTCGAATCTGCACCCTCGTGCATGAGAAGCAGGCGTTATCAATATTTACTTAACTCGTCGAGTACCGGTTTTGTAGACACAATTATAGAACAATAGGTTGCGGTCACTGGTGACCGCTTGGTGTTTGACAGTTTAACTTAATTTATTTTACATTGCTTGTGTGACATTCATAATTGACAAATTATCTTTTTACATT